CCGTCAATGTGGCCCGTTGAGGGGGGCCAATATGCTGAAGTGGCCCTCGGTGAAATTGAGTTTGACACCCCTGCCCTACACCAATAAAACACAGACATGCAATAGTACGTCAGCTGCATAAGAAGAAACATGAAAGTCCTGTTTCTGCTGGTCCACAGGAAGCCGGAGAAGGGGATCCAGTACCTGATCGAGAAGGGCTTCGTGTCGGACACTCCGGTGGGCATCGCCAGGTTCATCCTGGAGCGGAAAGGACTGAGCAGGCAGATGATCGGAGAGTTCCTGGGCAGCCGGCAGCAGTTCAACAAAGACGTCCTCGAGTCAGTGCAACATTCGATTTCTACGTTCTTAGATGCCATAGCGTTTAGCATTAGCAGACTAAATGTTTGTGATTAGCACTTTAGCATTAGCAGATTAAATGTTTGTGATTAGCGCTTTAGCATTAGCAGATTAAATGTTTGTGATTAGCGCTTTAGCATTAGCAGATTAAATGTTTGTGATTAGCGTTTTGGGTTAGTGGAATTGCATGTGATGCAATCTGCTGAGCTTATTTGGAAACATTTTAAATTCATTTGAAAACTGAACTGAGCTCACTTTGTGTTTGATGACTGGGATCAGTTGGGATGTATGTCTGATTGGACTAAAATTGTTTTTTTGCCGTGATACATTTGTTCTGAACTGACAAACTATTGTTTATGATTGATTTTAAAGCAATCATAAACAATGCTAATCATAAACATTAGCTGAACTAATGTTTATGATTAGCACGTTAGCATTGTTGTCTCTGACTGCTGCTTTAGCGATTATTTTGCTGTTAAAACAAATGTTTATGATTAAAGCTTTAGGCAGTGGCGCAACTGCACATTATTCAGGTGGATGCGAAAACATAAATCGGCGCCCCCCCAAGGCGACGCTGCGTGAAGTGTAAAACTCGCTACATGTACCTCTTATGTGCGAGAGGTGAAGCAGCGCGAGGCGCTGAACTGTATGGGAAAACATAATCGGCGCGTCGCCCCCTCCAGATGGGGTTTTGGCGCCCCCTCTGGTGCTGCGCCCCTATGCGTTGCATACGCTGCATACCCACTTTTTGCGCCTCTGGCTTTAGGGTTAGTGGAACGAATGTTAGCAGGACTATTGTTTTCGATTAGCATAGCTAACTGTTTGGTTATCGGTGCCCAGCGCTGGGTGCTAATTTATTTTGCAGACTCAAAGTGTTTGCTGAGGTTTAGTTCCTGTGTTCCTCTGTGTAGCTGCGTCCTGGATGAGATGGACTTCTCTGGCATGGATCTGGACGAAGCGCTGAGGAAGTTCCAGGCGCAGATCAAGGTTCAGGGCGAAGCTCAGCGGGTGGAGCGGCTGGTGGAGGCCTTCAGGTATCTGAGAGGTCCAGTCCATCAGCGCACACGTTTCAGATCTTCAGTTTGTTCCAGCTCTTTGTTTCCCTCTGCAGTCAGAGGTACTGCGTCTGCAACCCGGTGCTGATCCGGCAATTCCAGAACCCAGACACCATCTTCATCCTGGCCTTTGCCATCATCCTCCTCAACACAGACATGTACAGCCCCAACGTGAAGCCAGAGAGGAAGATGAAGCTGGAGGACTTCATCAAGAACCTGAGGGGTGAGTGGGGAACCCGGCAGCTGGAGCAGGAGAGCTGCAGGCTGCTGTCATCCTCCATCACAGCCAGAACCAGAACCAGAACCAGGGAGCGGAGGAGCTTCTGTCTGCTCCGTCCCAGTTGATCAGATCTTCTTTATATGGAAGAAACTCACCAGCCTAGCAGCTGGAAGAGATTCATCAGAACGGCTGGGTTCTGATGGAAGGGGCGGTCCAGAGACAGCACCTTTTTTTGAACTAAGATCCATCCATCCATCCATCCATCCATCCATCCATCCATCCATCCATCCATCCATCCATCCATCCATCCATCCATCATGGCCACTATAGATGTTTGTGTTCTTCATTTAAATTTTGGCCTAAAACCTGGATTGACAAATGTTCCCTTCATTTGTTATAAAAATGCTATAAATTTCAAATATGACTGAAAAGAAATTTGATTTCCTGATTTAACGCCTTGAAATTGGGCCTCTGTCTCTTTAAAACTCCTGCTTTCTGAAAGTCATCCCAACATGGCTCCTCTCTCAACCCTTTAGTGTTTTTACCAGTGTCGCTCTGAGAGTTTACTAATTGCTGCTGGCTAGTCTGAAGGAGCTGGGTGGGGGAAGAGCTGCGCCTCAAAGGCGGATCTAGGTCCACTCAGGTGTTTTTCTCAAACATGCATTAGAATCAAAGCAACACTCCAGGTTTGTTTTTGATGAGGGAAAACATTAAAACATGATGGAAATGATAAAATAATTGATTTTTCATGATACTGTCCCTTTAAGTTTCAACTTGGAAATATCTGGACTTTTTTTTTATTTTGTTTTTATTTTATTTTTTGTCTCTATTGGCCTTTATTGGTAGGAATCTGACAGGAAAGTTTAGACATTAAATACGTTTTAGATCTATTCGTGGGTAAAATTTAACTCCTTAAAATCTCCATCATGCTCCAACTTATTCAAAATGAAGGAGCAGGAAAGATGGGATGGGAATGAGTTTCACTAAAATAATAATTTTCAGATGTTTTCAGCCTGAAATGCAGGAATGAATGAATGAATATTAGTGAAGATAAAACCTGCAAAGGTTGTGATGTTTCTGTTTGGTCCTGCAGGCGTGGACAACGGGCAGGACATCCCCAGAGACCTGCTGGTGGCCATCTACGGCCGCATCCAGAAGTGGGAGCTGAGGACCAACGACGACCACGTGTCGCAGGTCCAGGCGGTGGAGCGCATGGTGATCGGCAAGAAACCGGTAAGAAGCTCCCGGGCGGACAGGAAGCTGCGCTCTGAGCGCGGCTGAGCGTTTCCTGTGTGTGCTGCAGGTTCTGTCGCTTCCGCACCGCAGGCTGGTCTGCTGCTGCCAGCTGTTCGAGGTTCCCGATCCAAACCGGGCCCAGAGGAGCGGCGTCCATCAGAGAGAAGTCTTCCTGTTCAACGACCTGCTCATGGTAAGCAGCGGGAACCAGAGGGAGGGGAAGGATTTCGTGGTTACACCGAGGAAACAGTGTTTGGCGTTTCACCGGGTTGTGAGGGATTTTCTCAAACATTTTCCTCAGAAATGAAGAAGACATACAAACAAAAGCAATTCCTCCTCTATTTATTCTCTCCATCTCATTGCTTTTTTCTTTCCTTCTTATCTCTCCCTCCTCTTCCTCCTTTTCCTCCTCCTCAGGTAACGAAGATCTACCAGAAGAAGAAGACGTCGGTGATGTACAGCTTCAGGCAGTCGTTTCCTCTGCTCGACATGCAGGTCCACACCTTCCAGAACACCTGTACGTCCCGCTCCGCTCACACCTTCCTCCTCTTCCTCTTCCTCGCTCACGGCTCTATTTTTACACGTCAGTCGGCAGGCTGAACAGACTCCAGGGAAACAACCTGAGCTCATAAAACTGTAAATAGCATCACATATTCACCATAATGACAGCAATATTCCAGCTAATCCTCTGGAAATGTGGAAGCAAAAATCGGATCTGGAATCAAACTTTAGATCTGAAACACATTCAGATTCATCTGTTCTTTCTCTCTCTAGATTATAGATTATAGATGGAAATTTGAGGTTTAATCGCTGCATCGGGCATTTAGGTTCAAACAAAGATAAAACGGCACAATTTCCCAAAAAAACTAGCTGCTCTGCCATGTTTTTGTGTTAAAATGTTCAAAGTTGACAGAAATTTGGAAAGTAAAACATCAACAATTAAGAAAATACAGCAGTAAGTCTCAGCCTGGACTTTGACTAGGACATTTAAACAGGCTGGTCGTCCTGCTGGAAGTTGAACCAACCTTCCTACGGCTTCACCTTCCTTTGGGCTGGATTTTATTTAAGGTTGTCAGAGTAAAGGGGGGTAAACACAAAACCATGCCAAACCTTTTCTTCCCACTTTATGTTGGAAAATAAATACTGTTGTGACGATAAAATGCGTTAAAGTGCTCATTGTAGGTCTGAGAAGATTTTAAATCTGTTTTAAAATGATTTGGTTGAAATGTGGAAACAAACTGGAGGCAGATCTGGTAATAAACAAGTTTAGCTTTTAATTTAAGGCTCCATTAAACTGCTGTAAAGATGCTCAGCAGGACAAGATCACAGCGTTTCATAAACATATGAGTCACATTTCAGGACAGATTTACAGATCAGGTAGAAGGAAACGTTAGCTGTTGATTTCAGCCATGCAGGGATGATTTAAGTCGCCATAAATCAGCTGTTTGAGCTGATTCACACTTTATGTGTTTCTGTTTGATTCCTGTTTATCTGAAAACCACAGAGAGCAACTTAGATAAAAACTGAGAATAAAACTTTATGTTTTTATTCTGCATTTTAATTTGGATACATGTTATCGAGCAACTAAACCTCAAACCAACTGGATTTTTCAGAAAACTCAAACAGCGCCTGAACAGGCTTATTTGTTATTTTGTTCTCAGTTTTGTTAGATTTTTCGCCAGTCGCTTTGGTGAAAAAAAAAGTAAAAAAAGGAGAACTGGCTAGATTTGTTGCTAGTTGCTTTTTTGAAAAACGTCATCCCATTTGTTGCCATGTTTCGTTTTATGAAAAGCCTCCAGAGGGTCTGAAAAGTCATTAAACACGGTAACAGAGTTGTGGAGTTGGTAACAGGTAACAGTGCTGTTGCTCGTTCTGACCACACCCCATCTTAAGCTCCTCCCCTCCGTCACATGATTGGCCACGCCCCTCGTCTCTTGGCTCCGCCCCCTTTGTGGATTTTTTTTTTTTTTAGGACGGGGCTAAGCGTTCATGGTGGTTAGTTACACTTCACCTTAGTTACATTCTCCCATTTTAACTATTAAACCTTCAATTTAGCTAACATAATTTTGGTATTTTGCAACAAACCAGTCGTGTTCTTTCTGTAATTTAAAAAATAAATTACAATAAGCTGCAGCTTTCAAATCTAAATGAATAATAACTAAACTGAGGGCTGAGGACGCTGCCCTGTGGTCCACCTCGTCCCTCGGCTTCTTTATATTTAGTTTTACCATTTATATCTGTTTTTAAGATATAAACTAACCCAGTTTTTTATATATCATTAAATGTCATAACCTCCAGCTTGGTAATTAAGATTTTATAATCTAATAATTTAGATTATTAGATTATTATCTGCCTCTTTCCTATTTAGATCAGTTTGATTAAACATTATTTATTAATAAACAAAAATGAATCTGGTTTATAATAATTTGGGTTTGCTGCTTTTTAAATAAAAACATCACCTTTGCTTTCTTATCTCCATGTCTTTATAATTCTGCCTTTCTTTCCACATCGAGCCTCAGTAAGTCGAGGCTGCATGCAACCCGGTTCTCCTCCTGGTTCTGATGAGCCGGGGAAACCTGTGCTTCACCAAAACTCAGCCAAATATCATCAGAGGCCTGATTTTACTGCAGAGAGCAACAGAGAGCAATTTAAAACGTTCTGGATAAGAAGATGAGAGGATAAAAGTCTCAGCTGTTTTCACAGTAAAATCAGGAACATCGAGCTGAACGATCTGCTCGGTGTCGCCGTGATGCGTTCTGACGTCACGTTTGTGTGTCGTAGGAATCCGCAGCGTCGTCTCTGTCTGTTCAGGCTGTTAGATGCTGTTGTTGTTGACAGTTCTGGTTCAGCAGCCGGACCCAAACGGACCTGGCAGCCTGGTGACGACTGAGACCAGGACAGATTGTCGCACATGATTCATCAGCGCAGCGAGCGTGTGTGTGTGTGTGTGTGTGTGTGTGTGTGTGTGT